TACATATGATAAGTTAAAAAAATATTTTTTGTTCAGAGATATAACTTAACGAAGTTCCGGATTCCGATAGAATCTTGCGGAGAAAGTAACTAAAAAACAGTATGGCGAACTAGGGTTAAAGGAATGACAAATACTCAAACGAATGACAGTCGATTTAGACATGCCAATGTCTTTATTTGTGAAAAATTGATTGAAAAGTGTTGTCGCTTGTGCGTAAGACCTCCTACGCGCGCGATCACCCCATTTTCACATTAAAAGAAATACGAGCACCTAAGATAATACTCATATCGGCGGTTTTGTAACTTTTAAGTCTCACAACTTAAAAAGTACTGAGTAAAAAGAAGCTTTATTATATTATTTTAAAAAGCTCCTAACATCAGCTATTAGATTTTAAAATCAAAAGTAGGATGTTTTGTTTAAAAAAATCGATTTGATCTTAACTTGTGGTGACGCCGTCTAGGTCAAATTGATAAGGTCAGTAAATAGATCATTTTCAATCCTAAACTTTTGTATATTTTATTATTGTAAATATTTTTCTTAGAAATGCTTACTTTTCAAGATATTTATGAGGTCCAAGACTTTTTTTACACTATATGTACATACATATACACAGTGCGACAAATATGTTCCCGGACAGGGCTTGAAAATCATAATAAAACCAACAAATATGCATATTTTTTGGTTTTATTATTCAAAATATTCTCCTCTGGCTTCAATACATTTGTTACAGCGATTCAATAATGATTCAAATGCATGTTCTAGTTCAGTTTACGGAATTGCCTCTAGTGCTTGTGTAGAAGCTGATTGGATGGTCGGAATATCATCAAAAAAGCGTCCTTTCAATTTCAATTTCAATTTTGGGAATAATGAGAAGTCGCAGGGGGCCAAATCAGGTGAATACGGTGGATGGTTTAACACAGAGACACGATTTCGAGCCAAACATTGACGGACAATCAATGAAGTGTGACTCGGTGCATTATCATGCAACAAAGACCAATTTTCTGGATCACGATATTCGGGGCGAATACGATGAATTCTGCCCATCAATCGCTTTAAAACTTCGAGATAATATGCACCAGTAATTGTTTGGCCAGTTGGAACAAACTCTTTGTGGATAACTTTGCTATCAAAGAATGTGATGAGCATTGTCTTGATTTTTGATGGAACTTTTCGTACTTTTTTTGCTTGTGGTGAATTTTGTGACTTCCATTCCGCACTTTGACGCTTAGTTTCTGGATCATATTGAAAGCACCATGTTTCATCACCCGTAACAATTGATTTTAGGAAGTTTGGATTATTTTCTGCGGCTGCAACGATGTCTCTGGAATAATTGATTCTCGCTGATTTTTGATCGCTTCTTAATGTGTGTGGAACAAACTTCGCACCTTCGTTTTACCCAAATCTTCATAATATGGTTCGAATCGTTTCTCTACTGAAATTTATCTATTTAAAGCCTCCTCCATCATTTTCAGTGATGCATTGCGATCGTTTGCAACAAAATCACGTACTTTTTCGATCATTTCGGATGTTCGAACCAAAATTGACCGTCCTGATTTTTTGTCATCTTCGAGGGTCTTTCTGCCTTCCAAAAAACGCTTATGCCACTCAAAAATAGCTGTACGACCTAGACATTGACTGCCGTAAACTTGTTGCATCGATCGGAATGTTTCTGATGCACTTTTACCAAGTTTTGCGTTAAATTTAATCACTACTCTTTGTTCCATATTAAAATTTCTACCTTTTTACCTCGACCAAAATCTTGTTTAACATGAACTGTCATATCTTCGTTATATGTCAACCAAAATGAATGAAACTTTGACAAATGATAGAAAAATGTTCAACCTTTAAAATGCATGTTTGAACGCACAGATGTCGCCACTGGTTGCTGAGATATGGTTCGTGTCCGGGAACATATTTGTCGCACTGTGCACTAACGCCGATGCTGTTTCACGAATTTCGGTTAACGCGGTCGATTCATATGTTACAAACATGTGAGGACATTCAACACATGCTTTCGTATTTATTCAAAACAAAACTTATTAAAATTGCCTTTAATAAAGATCCAATCCCAGGATGGAAAAATATAGATCCAAAATCTGTTTCCTCGGAAAATCTTCGAGTTTTGATCCTATCAATTCTTCAGGATTTAAATGCTGATCCTGATAAATGGACGTTAAATTTTGTTGGATCTATTAACAAAAAGAGATTCCATTGACATTCTAATTTCTATATATGACTTACATTCAAAAACAAAAATTATTATCGAAGAGCGGCTCTCAATGATTCCAAGAAATAAATTCAGCAACAAAGCTTCTCCTTAGTCTACCGGAGGAATCTCCTCTCGATTCATACTTAAAATAAATAGACAAAATATAATATTGAATTAAAAATCAAATTGGATGACAGTCGAATAAAACGATTCTTTTTATTGAAACTCCTCCTAAAATTACAAGAGATAATGAAATTTACATTTCCCTTCATGCTACCCACAGACAACTTAGTATTCAATTACACGATTTCTAACAGAAAATGACTAACACGTAAATGTAATACATGACCAAAAAGAAATAATACATTACCAAATTAATTTCAGTTATTGATGAATACTATCTCGGAGAAAAACTATATATATATATATATATATATGTCTCTAAATATTTTTCCTAAATATTAAATAAAAAAGAGATTATTTCAGACACGCATTCTGGAATCTTAGGCAGACATTATTTGGTAGAGAAAGCACTTCAAAGAATTAGACAAAAATACAATTGGCAAAATATAACCGTTGACGTTAAAAAATTTATTAGTAAATGTGAATCATGTCAATTCAACAAACCAGGTATCCAAAATCCTTATATATATTCCTCTCTGGATATCCCTCGAGCTCCTAATGAAAAGATATTTATAGATTTCATTTGAGTTGACAAATAGGTTATATTATGATTGTACAAGATTATCTTACACGATACATATTAACAAAACCTATTATAGATAAATTTATCACATCAATTATTAGAGCACTCTAGTATTCTTGGCTTAGATATTTTGGCAAACCCAAAGAATTCCTATCAGACAATGCTCTGGAATTCGAATGAATTCAAAACACTTTGCGATCAATTATATGCCAAATATACGCTTACGTCAGTTTATCATCTACAATCAAACAGGAAAAACAAAAAGTCACATTTTTATTCTTATAGAATTATTATTCTTACAGAATATATAAGGAATTATATGAAAGAACAAGAGCAATGGGATATAATACTGTCCCAGGCAATGCTCACATATAATTGTAAGGTAAATAAGAACACAGGATACATACTCTGTGAATTACAATTTGGCAGGGAATCTAATCACATTTTCAGTGAAGAAGATGATAGATTATCCCTCCAAAAGCAAATAGACGATCTGCATATACAGCATGAAAATAAATTGGAAGAAGCATGTAGAAATATATGCGATTATCAAGACTCCAATCTCCCTACTAAATCCTATATTCTAATAGAAAATAATGATCTGGTACTCGTGATAAACTTCAATGCTAAGTCATTCCTCAGTGGAGGGAAATCTCCGTTTCCTGAGGTTCGACATGACAAATTTATAATTTATCATATTCGCGAAAACGCAGAGATTAAATAGTATCACAGGAGTAACATTAAGCCTTTTATTACAGATGAACAAGATGAACTTGAAATTTATTCCAATTCTTCTTCTGTTGATTCTCCAAGATCATCTTAGTAAAGGGATAGAAAAATATACCGTCACACAACTCAATGACGACGAAATCATTTACCTTGAAACGTTAAGCAAAGTTAAATTGTACCATGAACAGTAGAAAATAGTGATAGGATATGATTTAACGAATTTAGAGAAAAATTATGATATGCTTAGTGTTGCGTATAAGAATTTATATCAGAGATGTTTTCTTAAGTTGCTTAATGAAGAAAATTGGACTTGTTCCTTTAAACCGTTTTGCATGGCGATTAAAGCGATTCACCGAAATAACCGGCGATTTAGACAACATGTTACATTTAACGGGACTTCAAAGGACAAAAATTAAACGCGGATTATTTGAGAAGAAATAAGTAAAACATTATTTGGAACTTTAGCTGACACGGATGCGAGTTATTATAATAACGAATTAGATAAATTGTATGCCGATCAGAAAAATATTGTTCAGTATGTAAAGAATCAAACTAGAATCTAACAAATTATACTTCACCTAGAACCGGATTGTATAGCAATTTCCGATACTGCAATCCTGACACCCGAAAATTTGCTCAAAGACAAGATTGAAGTTTATGAAACTATTCGCTTAATAGATCAAAAGACTATTAATGAGACATTTATAAAGCACAAGTTAACCGACATGCCATTAGATTCAATAACAGAAGTTCATATTAATCCTGAACACTTAAAGACCTTAGGAAAAAATTTAAATGAATTAAACAATTTAGCAGGTCGAATTGCAGAACATAAAAGAACTACTACCTGAATGGAGAGATTTATGTACTATCTTCACATGACAGGATATATAGCCCTTGGCTCTGTTCTGTTTATATTTCTTTTTAAGATCGGTATACTTTTCTATAATTAATTTACTTAAGCAATTATTCGGAAATTGTTATAATCAATGTAGGAAATCGTGCTCCAACACATTATACTGCTTGTACCCCAGCTACTAGTTATGAGTTAGACATGTTAGATTCAGAAGTACTAAGGCGTTTGGTTAAAAATAAAATTTGAATATACATCAAATTTTTTTTATAAGGAGGGAAGTATAACTATTGTCCATATATCTACCTTAAAATTCAACCTTAGCATTCAATGAAGCGTTAGAAATATGACCTTTTTCTTTCTTTTCTTTATATTTTATTTCTTGTAACACTTGTCCATTTATGGACAAAGACCCCTTAGGATAAAAATAGAAATAAGACTTTCTAGAAATAAGGTATATGTAACTCGATTTTTCTAGAAATTTTTAGAAGATTTTCCGTTACCTTAAATAGAGAATTCTTAGACCAAGCGAGTCAATCCATTGAGTCCTGCAAGATCAGTCGCATCTAAAAATTGTTTTTGCGAATCTTAATGCTAATAAAGTGGATTTTGTATTAAAATTAAGAATAAAGAATTTTTTACTTGAAAGAACATTATTACGAATCTTACACTAGGACACAAATTCATGCTACAATAATATTCTACGAATGCTTATATGCGAATACAAATTAATCACTATTAAATCGGAAAGCGAATTTTGGAACACCCAGTGTGATATGTGATTGTCATAATTTGATCCGACATTCCTTTTAATTTATTCAGGACCTTTCCGTTATTTCATGCTGGGGACTCTCTTCCTCGCAACGCGGAATAATAAACACACTGCGGAACTATATGCGCGGAGGACCGATTGAAGAGTGCTGCAAAAGAGAATGCAACGTAATTCGTACTGTTCATTGTCGCATGACGCGATTGTATATAGAATGGGATGGAGTTGGTTGGGAGAGGGAGGGGGAGAGGACGAGAGTCGACAGGAGAAAACCGTGACTCCGAGAAACAAGCAGGGGAGGGTATGCTGCCACTTTTTTTTTGCTTTCTCCTCTTATCGTTCCCGCGTTGCACAACAAAGCCGCGGGATGAGAAAACATTAATCTAGGCATGTTTTGCAATCTCGCCGTTCGCGGTGTAGCTACATATAATGGAACGCTGTTATTGCTACGCTGTTATGGCGTGCGCACAATGTTCGTTTCGTGCCTCTTCCTCCTCTTCCTCCTCCTCGTCATCGTCGTCGTCGTCGTACAGATTGGAAGCGTATCCGTGTGTTCGTCTCAGCAACCAAGATTAATATTTCGAAAGTAACGAAATGATAGAGACGACGCGAAGAACAACATTGAGTGTGGACACAGGTGTTTCGCACCGCGGGAGTATCTGCTATCGAAGTATCGATACTTTAATCTATATACTTTTGGTATATTAGTCTTTGGATGCCACATGAGTATGTATGTTTAACAAAAAGACGTTTTCAGTGAAAGCACAAATGAAATTTTGTGCGAATATAATCAATTAATTGATAATGTCATTACTCTGTTAATTTTCGAAATAATACGTTTAAGCAATGTGCAATCGTACATGATATATATATATATATATATATATATATATAATGTGTAAATAAACATATATGCACTGAAAAAAAAATTTGTTCAACAAAAAAAAATTATTTGACTCAACAAAATGCTGCGGTCGAATACATGCAAATAAATATCAATGTAATAAGAGCAAAATATTTTATTTACTATTAATTACTATGATGATTTTAAATTTGGTTCAACTAAATTAAATTATTATAGCAGACAAAATGTTTATTTGATATTAAAATATATTTAATTGAATAGGAATTCATTTTGATGATCCATTAAATAACATATTATAATATAATTGAGACAACAAAAGGATGTGTGTTTGTGTGTGTGTGTGTGTTAAACAAAAAATTTAATAAAACAACTAAATTGATGTTTAAAATAATTACATATAGTTTACGCTCAACTTCTTTATAGTTGAAATTTGTATACACAATATTATCGTTAAATTTATGTTTTATTTGACTAAACATAATAGTCTTGTGATAAAACAGATAGAATCGAATTTTGTACTTATTTGACACAATATTCCTTTTTGTGACATAATATTCTTTTTTTTGAAATGAAATATTTTGATTATCTTATAACAATTTAAATTGAATAAACTATCTTTCTTGCTCATTCAAGTATATTGAGTGTGAAGACATCTTAGTTTGATAAAATATTTGTTTCACTTATAAGTCATTATAGTAATGTAACATAAAAAGCCTTGCCCAAAATTAATGAATTTAGTACAAAAGAAGAGCAAAGAGTCAATAACGTATAAAAGAATTTTAATTTAAATAAGCAAAATTAATACAAAACAATTAAAATAAAATAAACAAACGTTTCAACTCCAATCGAGTCATTTTCAATGCAATCTTACAATAATATAAACATCATTCTATAATAAATTAAAAATTCGTACATAGTCTTACAATATTCTTACAATTCCTTAATATAAAATATTTTCTTTCTGTGTAATACGCTGTGAGTCATTTTTATTAAGAATTAACAAAGTCATAAGAAAATTCTGGAAAAGTAATCGTAAACAAAAAGAATTAATATTAATCACATAAAAATTAGTAATATGATAATGTACCTTAGTAAATTTGTTAAGAGTCCAATAATACACAACGAGAAAAAAATGTAAAATGTAGTCCATTTCGTGGTACAATAAAATAATCTTTTTATTTTATAAGTTATTATAAGCAAATTCGCAAAGGTAACAAGCATCTGACTTACTACACGATGTCAAAAAACGAAATGTCAAGCAGAAAAACATTATCGAGAACGAAAAACGGGGGAAAAATAGAGGGAAAAGAAAAGAAGATGTTAGAAAGGAGAAAGCGAATGTATAATGTCAGAATACAAATCCGGCAAAAACTCCGTGTCATTTTGTCTATTAATCCCATGCTTCTGTTTTTTAATATGGACCATTTCAGATATCAACCTTTTATTATATGAAAGCTCTACATCTAATATTTCCATTTTATCCCATTTAAAGTTATGATTTTCCTCAATACGATGGTTGGAAATCACTGATGGAGATTTTGAACTTATATTGATATCAGAAACATATTCATACAATCTGGCCTTTAATTGTCTTTTAGTTTGGCCAACATAACTGGCATCACAATCTTCGCAGGGATATTCTGTAGACCACATTTTGATTCTGAACGTGTTCTAAATCATCTTTTCCTCTCCTTATGAAACTTCTTAATGTGTTAGGAATAGTGCAAGCCAATTTACAATTAAATATATTAACAATAGGTATAAATCTTTCGGATATACACTAAGGATGATACTGAGAAGAAGTTTTTTACGATTCCATGTTAATACGATATCCGAAAGATTTATACCTATTATTTTTGTATTAATTTTGTTTATTTAAATTAAAATTCTTTTATATGTTATTGGCTCTTTGCCCTTCTTTTATACTACCTTTTGTTTATAAGTACAGAGCCTTTTTATTACTTTTAATTTTAATGAATTTATTTGATTAAATCGTTATACTTTAAAAATATTTTTTTTGTTATTTTTATTTTTTCAGTTTAATTTATTATTTACTGTTTTCGCATATCTATTCTTGTCTTATTAACTACAATTAATTATTATTGAAAAACACATCGTATCGCCGCCAAGATTTGAACGTACGATCCTTAGAACGATAGTCTAACCTTACACTTACGCTGAGCTAATCGCACGTCGATCGAGTCATTACTAATACCTCCTACTGTAACCATTTTTAATTTCATGTCTCTGCTGACAGTTTAATATTATTAATCTTTGAAGAGATTACATAGAAACGAAATAATACATGTTTTGATCTTGTCAACTTTTAGTCAACATCATCTATTATATATATTGAAAGAAAAGATTGGTTGTTGCAGCAAATTAGATGGTTAAATATAACATAGCATTTTTAATTGGTTGCAGCAATCAATTTTTGGTTGCGTTAGACAATCGAAATCCTATAATGACATTGTGGATAGACTAACACAACCGACAATTGACTGCAGCAACCAAAAATTGGCTGTTATAATTAAAAAGGCCATGCCACATTTTATTTTTGCTACATGCCACTTTTTCTAATTTGCTACAGCAGCCAATCTTTTCTTTCAATGTAACAAAATACGTGGGCAAAAATTATATAAGATCATTCATGTCAAGATATATGTTAATGCAACAATTTTTTATTCAATTAAACTTAACCGTAGTCCAGTGATGTCAGATTGGACTCGTTTACGGCATTTTACGACATATAAAGGGGATACTGCGGCAAGCGGCTGCGAATTGTCATCGTGATCCACAAAAGTGTGTCCATGTGCGGTCACGATTCGGCTAGCTTTGAGCGATAGAAGAGAGCAGTATTTCTTGCGCTTATTTCAAGCGAGCGAAACTGCTTCCTCGGCTACTCGTATGTCGAACAATCTAGATAATATGTAACTTTTAATAAATTATAATCATATGCCCCTCCCATTAATCCTAAATAGTAAATATAAATCACGTTAAAACGCAATAATTTACGAGATATTAATTGTTTATGATTTTCTATGATTATATACCATGTTATAAACCTGATTCACAAGAAACTGGCGTAGTTTTTAATCGATACAGTTTATGAAATTATCTTGTGTTTATGTTGAAATAAATCAATAACTGCAGGAAAAATACACATTCGCTTTTCAAAAGATTGATAAAGAAAATTATTTAAAAATTGCACAATATGCGATGACGAAAGTCAATATTTTTTTAATGTAAATGAAATGTTTTTTAAAAAGAATTCGAAAAGTATGTTTTCGTAATGATATTGCATTTATTAAATGCGCTTGGTGTCGATCGATACTTTGCTTTAAATACTTTTTTAACTATTATCCAAATGTTATGCAAAAATTCTGATAATGAATAAAATTCCGAACGCGAGACGATTAATTATAAAAATGTTGTCAATATAATATACACATATAAAAGCCATTGCTTATTGTGCAATTTTAAAATAATTTTTTAAAATTGCATCTCCTCCACATGACATAAAATGCCGTAAATGAGCCCAATCTGGCATCACTGTCATAGTCTACTTAATAAATTGTTCAATGTTGGTTAACGAAAATGATTCAATTTTATTTAGTTGACAGGACTACCATCATTTGGAAGTCTTCAAGAAAAATCAATTAATCAGCATCGTATATTTATTTGAATAGTCTCACGGAGTTAACTAAATGCGTTTTTATGATACATATATATATATACTTTATTGTTTTAAATGCGAAGATTTGTTTGAATGAAATTATATCTTTATTATGTGAAATAACATTTTTATAAATTATATTATACACAGAGAGAAAGATTTCTTTAAATTTAATAAAAAAAAAGTACATTATTTTATTACATTAAAAATTCAGCTTTATAAATACGATGCAATTGAAGATATAATATTTGTTATACTTTCAATTC